CCACTGCTATATTTTTCGTGATGATCTCTTCATCTGTCCACTAGTTTATTCCTATCACAAATATTTCTATCATATATATATATATAGTTTTACTCACAATCTTTTTTTTTTTGTGTGGCTCTGCTTCACTTTGTCTTTCCCTTTATTTCAACCTCAAATATGTTTCCATCTTCAAACCTATTTGAGTTATTTGAGTTTGAGGAGGGTATTATATCTATATCATGATGAGCATGGTGATATACCATGTGAACCACCCCTCTAGCGCACAACCCAAGCCGGCTCCTCTGGCGTATAACCCAAGCCACCCCTTTGCGGACCATCCAAGCCACTCCCTCTCGCGCACAACCCAAGTCGCCCCCTCTGACGTACCATCCAAGTCACCTCTTGGCGCACCATCAAAACCACTCCCTGGTGCACTCAATCATCTATTGCCATTATCGTTCAACACCTTGTCATAAGTTATATATGTGCCATGATTGTTGGTTCAACAATCAGTTCTCTATATCGGTCTGGCATGACCCCTTTAAATTGTCCTAACATTGATTCTGGTTAGTCTCTACAACGGTCTGACATGATCCCTTAAGCTGTCCCGATATCGATTCCGGTCAATTCTTACAACAGTCCGGCATGAACCCGTAAATTGTCTCGACATTGGTTCCGGTCAGTTCCAACAACGGTCCGGCATGACCTTAAACTGTCCCGACATTAGTTTAAACCAGTTCCTATAATGGTCCGACACGACCATAAACTGTCTCCCAACAGTAGTTCCAACCTCTGATATATCTCAAGCGCCCTTGTGCTCCCGTTCAAACTTTGCAATCTATTTGCCTTTTATTTTATTTAGTTTTATTTCATGTTTTAGTTTCTCTTTCTAAACTCAACATATTTATCCTCTTTGAGTTTGAGGGGGGATGTCAATGTATATGTGGTATATATTCCTAGATATATTAGGTACTGATTTCCTAGATATATTTGTATTGCCATAATTAGGTTTCTTTTAGGATACTCTTTCTCATAGTTATGTTTCTAATATGATACTCTTTCTCAGTCTAAATTTTGAATACATATTATTTTCTCTCTCTGTCTCTCTCTACTATTTTAACAGTTTGCATAATTGTTACCACAATGAGCCATATCACTAAAAATTGACAATTAATGAAATTTTTCTGTGACGATTTTCTAAATTTGTTGCTAAAAATGACAATTAGTGATATTTTTCTGTGACGAATTTTTTAACTTTTGCTAAAAACTAACAATTAGTGACACTTTTTTTATGAAAACGCCGCTAAAAATAAAAGTAAATGAAGACTTTGTGGTAACAATTAAAAATGAACAAGACTATTTGATGGACCAAAAAATCGTGAGGATTTATTGGTGCACCTATATTTCTAATAGAACGTTTCAATCGATTCCCCCTTTTTTGTGTTGATGAATCTACACATAAGGACCAATACAACCTTTATGAGTCCCAAAACAGTTTAAATATCCAAAATACAACTTATATGAGTCTCACATGCCTAACAATACTCTCCATATGAACTGTAACCCTTTAACCAGGAATCAACTATTGCACATATAGCATTGACATGTAACTTAAGGCACGAATCAGCACTATTAATGACCCCATATGCACAAATCTTGAATCTCATAATAGTTTTAGAAACCAGTCCTATTCCCATGGTCACGGACGTTGGTGGTTAAATTTTAGGAAAATCAATAAGGAAGAGGTGAGTAGAGCTGGGAAAGAGGGAGGAGTTGAGATGTGGCAACGGTCTGTTTGTTGGAAGATAGTCATAGATGGTTTATCTAGTCATTTAACATTAACAATAGATTTGCGATATTTAAAATACAAATTTTGTAAGTGACATTTGATTTGGGCATATAATACTTTCACAGCTTTTATTACAAATCAATCGTCACACTTATTTTGAAATAGTTGAACATACATTGTTTTGCATATTTCTGTGAAAGCCTGCATGAACATGATCAAATTAGAACAAGATAGATTATTTTTCTCAAAACATGATCAAATTGAAACAAATATAGGTTGTTTTTCATACATAGCTGCACATGCTCACATAAGATTTTAGCTGGCAAGGCCATAAATTTTTCTTGCAGCTACCAATAACAAAAAAGGAATTGATATGACGAGCAAAGGCAGAGCGCCATTGGTTGATATTGTCTTTATCAAGCACATATAAGATCCAAACAGAGCCAAAACTGAGATTTGAGGCCATGGGTTGAAGGGAAATTCATGCAGGAGGAATAGAGTCATGAGCACCGAAGCAATGAACACCGCGGAGTTGGACAACATGAATGTACTGGACAAGAGTGAATACTGTTTATTCAGTTGGAAGGTGCCAGTTATGTAGTTATGAACATAGCCCATTTTGGAAGCGCTTCCAAGGATGTGAAATGGGACTTGGTAGGTTATTGTTGTGAGCAGTGTGGCTATCAGTAGCAATACATTTCTGGATCCCATGATGGACTTAATAGTGCTTATATCTGATGACCTGTTGGATAACCCTCTATGACTACAATCATCATTGTGCTCCTTTCTTTGATTAACCAGATCACACATGTTTGATAACCCCCTGTGACTATAATCATCATTGTGCTCGATTCTTTGATTAGTTAAATCACAGGCTCTAGTTCCAGCTTCTGGAACAATTGTGTCAAATTTGATATCTATGTTCTCTGAATTAGGTAGATCACATGGGATGTCTATAGCCTTGAAAGAAGTCAAGGCATTGACATCCGCCAATTCCTTGTTGGGCAATACACTTAATGTCTGCAATTACAGTAAGTGTGAGTTCCTCTATATGAAAATAGAGCACAATAATATGAGAGATAATATACAAGAAAATGTAGTACATAAGCAAAAGGTTTAAATTTTTCAAAATTTTTTTTCCTATTTTTAAGGCTTTGTTTATTTCGATGTAAAATGTTTTACATTGAAAAATGTCATCATATAAAACTTTTTATAAGAATAACTTTATCATTCTTACTATATTTCACTGTTTGTTTGGATGATACCTTCAAAAAGAAAACAAACATGTTTTCAAGAAAAAATTCTCAAAAGGTTTCGTTTATCTGAGAACATTGGGAGTATTGATATTGTAAACGGAACAACTGAGAACCATATTGGTCGTCACTAGGCAAAGAGAAAGACAAGGTGGACCGGAGAGGGAGGCAAAGGGAATTCTCTTATTAAACGATGGTTGGAAATTGATGTCCATAGAAGAGGAGCTCCAACTTTCATAATGTAAAACTTGAGATAGAACAGAACATGATTAGGACTATTCCACATAGCCATTTGATAAAGAGCTTATCACCCCGATTTTATCATCCATCACACTAGTCCTCGCAAGTTATAAACTAGAGCTACTTGTATCCCCAAGTTAGTCAAGGTACCTCTCTAGTTGGTCAAATTACTCAATCAAGTTACATTCACAGGTTCACTAAAGTTCCTATCTGTATGGTGCCCAATCGAGAGAAATGATTACTTTTCATTTAATCCTCACGAGCTTATAAGCTAGATGTAATCATGACCTCGAACTATCCAGTTGAGGTATAGCCCTCTCACCAGCTCTCTCTATCTTTGCCCATTTTCTTTTATTCTTTTATTCTTTTTCTTTTTTTCTTTTTTGATCGAAAAAACTAATCAATTCCCATTAAAACGCAAGCCACTCTACAAGAGCCGATGGAGGCCGAGACACCCAATCCAAAACCTCATCTAGACAAGCACAGGCTATCCAGTGGGCAACCCCATTAGCTACTCTGGGGCACCAAAAGAAAGAGAACCCTCCTTGCCATCTTTGCCAGTTACTCAATTGAGCTAATTACTTCTCATGTTAATTAGTTGAGGCCTGAGCCTTTACATCTCATAATCATCCCAGATTTGAACTCAACCGAGGTGATACTAAGTACCTGAGATAGACTCAAAGCCATTGTGAAATGCGTGAGCCATAACTACGTCAAGATGCTTACAATTCTATGGCACACCTCAACTGCTCTTAACTTTCAAATTGAACATTTCAAAAACCCATAAAGGCAACAACAACACTTGTTTTTCTATTCAAAAGCCTCCTAAATTCTATCATTGTCCAAAAATTTCAAAAAATCTACTCAAACAGCAAAATCATAGTAGTTGTCTCATTGGCGCATATTATCAAACATTTGATAGACAAGGAAAATATCAATCATGCTTGTACATTCCATTTGAATTGAACCTAGGGAAAATACGTACAACACCCAAAAACTCTATCCAATTAATGTAAAACTTTGTGATACACACTACTTGAGTAGGACTTATCAAATCATTCATCAAATTTTAATCTGATAAAAATTTAAAAAGATTAAACATTGGAGATAAATTTTTTTCATCAAATTTGATGGAAAGTGAAAATTTGGAATAAGAGACAAATTTTTAAAAAGATTTTAATAAAAATTTAATAAAATGATTGGAATAATTCATATCAAATCAAGTTTGTTACTCGAATTTAAAATTAAATTAGATTAAAAAAATTGCTAAAGGGTTGGAAATGATCTTGCCTAGACAATTTTAGTATTATAAGAAGCCAGTATTCACCTCATTTGTTTCCTCTAACCATCTTTCTATTTTTTTGAGAGATTTAAAAAGTGAGTTTTAACAAAAATCAGTTTCAAACAAGTGATTTGAAAGAAGAAGAAAAAATTTTGATTTTGATTTTGTTTTATCTCCCTACGGGTGAATGAGCAAGATGAGATAGCATGAGAAGCACTTTTGTCCTCTGCTACTGAAGAATTCAGAACATCTCCAATCAAATTATTTTTCTCTAAATATTTCCCTTCAAAATATTTTTCTTAAAAATTAAATAATTTTTGTTAATTAATAAATATTTAATTTGCAAAAGAATTATTTTAATCTTTTTAATGATATCAACTTTATAAAAATTAGATGTATATATTAAAAATTATCAGTATTCTATAATATATAATAAAAAATCTAAAGGCTATGATTGATAGATAAAATTAAAAGGAAAATATATTGAGGATAAAATTAGTATTTAAAAATTATAAATCCACTTAGTACCATCTCCATTTAGTACTATATATTAAAAATCGTCCATCATTTCTCCTACTTTTTTTCTCTATATTTAGAGAATCGATCACTTCTTCGATTCTCATAAAAAATATAAAAAATAAAAAATAAATAAAAAAACCACTTCTTCCAAATGGAGATGGTATTGGAAGATAGGTTGAAGTGACGGAGTCAGAAAATTAATTGAGAGGGGCACTTATAATTATAATTTCGGTTATTTTCCCATAATCAATAGTAGATAATACAAAATCTTAAATATTTAATACAAAAAATTTTAATATATATTTTTACAATTGACATCGAGCAAGATTGGAATCGAAAAGATGATATTATTTGTGACTAGTTTACTTATACATAAGTCTTATGAGAGATTTATACAAAACTAATATACTTTTTTCAATTTTTGTACAAAACTTGAGAAAATTTTAGCATAAGGGTAAACCACATCACCATCAACATGTGGCGTCACCAGCAATGGTAAAGTAAAACAATTCATAAAAGGTGAATCTCATTTGTCAAATATAATTAGTAATCTAATAATTTTCAATTTGCATAGTTAGATTAACTATGTTTACATGTCAATAATATTGACGTCGTATCACCGTTTCATTGAACTTTTTTCACAACCACCATTGTTTTCAAAATTTCAAGACTGCCATTAACAAATTATTCTAAATGTTATTTCTAAATAAAATTTTTAATTGTAAATTATTTTCCTTATATACATAAACATATATAAAATAACAATAAATAAAAAAATCCAAAATTGAGGGGGCATGTGACCCCCAGTCCAAGTAAAACTTCAACGTAATTGTAATACCGACACAAACAATAGACACTGTATGAAGAGAAATTTTTATATGTCAATAGGGTATTACGTGATTCTATTTTTCACTAATCACAAATGTAAATGTCCATTATTGTTCCCAAGCACTCAACATAAATGTAATGGACCCTGCCATCAAAGTCAATCACAATAATAAAAAGTACCACATCACATTTACCCTATCCACATACAAAAATTTCTCCCATATGAAAGGGATGAGCCCCTACTTTTAGCTTGCGACATATGCCTAAGATGGTAAATAATGAAACATGTCATCCATATCACCGTTGCATTGAAGCTTTTTTATTTTTTCAGACCGACCCTTCATAATTCCATTTCTGATGGTTTGGAGGAAAAATTTCTTCAACTATGAAGATAGAGAGAGTGAGCTGGAGATGCTTTTAGGCAAATCTAATTTCAAAAACGAAAAAAAAAAAATTTAATTTTTAATTTGATTTTCAGAAATTTATTTCATAAATTTTTGAAAAAATTAAAAATTAGTTTCGTAAAAAAAATGAAAGTACTTATCATTTTATATAATTTTATATTTTTGAAAGGCATAAAGAATTTTAAAAATTTTAAAAATAAATTTTTGATATATATTTTTATTAAACTAATTTTTATTTTTAAAAAAAATTCAGAAAATTATTTCAGAAATTCAAACCAAACAAGGCCTGTGAAAACTCTAAATGTAAGATATCAAATTTTAAAGCTAAATGAACTGTAAATAGCAGTACAAATTTTTCCAAACGACATCTCTGTAATGAAACATGGTATCGTCAATTACCTGGGGTAGTATTGTTGAAGTCCAGAGACGCAGAGGAGCAATTCCTTCATAATCCTTAAAATTCAGTAGACAAGTATAATTAACCAAATTCAAATCGACACAAAATTCAAACTCTGGATTTGTTAAATTAATTCTGGATTTCAATTCAGGAGAAGAGCTAACAACATTAATGTGGGTCGTCGGGATCGAGATTTGAAACTCACAAAGGAGATTCTTGACCTTGAAGAGATCAATGGGGGTCATCATTTTAAACTCCGAAAGAAGCTTCGTCAGGCTATACGAATAACGCCTGACTCCTCCTGCTACCTTCAGATCATCGAAACGAAGGTTCTTCAGTTTCGATGTTATCTCCTTAACTCCTCGTCCAGCCGACTGATTTGAGAAACAAATCTCCTTATCTACGAAGTTGTAAACCTCTCAAAGTCTTACCACCTCTCTCTACCGATTTAATCAAAACTACTTCAGTGCTTTTATAGACCCGACAAAGCCCCCGTTTTTGTTTTTCTTATAGGAAATTGCAAAGTTCGTCACGGGAAGATGTTATTACAAACATTATAATAATGACACGAGAATGTTACTATTTTATTTTGATGGGAAAGATTATGCAATTTATAATTATAGAAATAAATAATATAGTTTTATATTTTTTAAATCATAATTATAAAAAAATATATAACTAAATATTTTTAAATAATTTTTTAATTAAAGAAGAAAATTTATCATCATCCACCTATTACATGATCATTATTTAAACACATAATAAGAATTAATTTGGTAAAATAAATAAATAAATGTCTAAAAAATTTATCAATTTTACATAATTTTATCTAGGGTTGATAGAAATAATTTTTAATTTTTTTAAAAAAAATTAACATTTTTTTTTTGGTCAAATTAGTTTATATTTTATCAAATTAACGATTTTGCCGCTGAATATCTTCAATTGTCCTTATTTGAAACAATATTCAAAATATATGATCAAATATATTAAAATTGAAAAGTCAAGGACTAAAGTGACATGAATACCAAATTATAAGAATTGTTAGTGTAATTCGTCATTTTCTAATCATAAAAAAAAAATCTCTTTTTTTTTTCTAGGGTAAATTATGCAAATGGCCCATGTAGTTTATCCATTTTTTTCATTTTGGTCCCCGTTGTTTCAATTTGATTAATTTTGCTCCTTAATTTTACGGATTGTATCATATTAATCCAATAAATAACGACGGTTAAGTTTGATTGACAAAAAATCAAATAATGTTTTAATTTGATTCCTATAGTTTATAGAATGTTTCAATTTGGTTCATATAATTTATAAGAAAGTCAAAACAACAGGAATTAAATTGATACATCTTGTAAATTATATGGACTAAATTAAAACATCATATGATTATCCGTCTATCAAACTTAACCGCCGCTATTTATTGGACTAATATGACACAATTTGTAAAATTAAAAGATAAAATTGAGCAAATTAAAATAATAAGGATCAAAATTTAAATAAAATAAAATAAAATAAAAATAATTTATAGAAACTACCGGTATAATTTGCTGTTTTTTTTCTACGTGTCTGGATCCAATTGCTGAATTTTGTTAGGGAAAATATGTGATTCCCCACAAGTAAATCAATCAATGAGAATAAAAACTAATGCGGAAAAATTAAATCAAAGGCAACACAAGAATTTTTACGTGGTTCCCTCAATGTGAGGTACGTCCACGGGATCGAAATCCGATTCTACTATCAACCAAATAAGTTCCAAACGATTACAAACGAAACACTAATAGTCTCACAAAACTACCCTTAGGTGAATTCAAAATAATCACAAATAAACAAAAGGAAAAACCTCACCAAATAGATGAACCAAAATCTTCAGAATCAGAGTTGAAAAAAACCCAAAATAACAACCCAAATCAACTTCACCAAAGCACCCAAACAAAGATGCACCAACATCAATTTGCTGCTGCTACTCACTGATTTTTCCGAAGCACTATCTCACCAAGAAAACGGCTGCCACTTTGCTTTGGGAAAAACAATACACACCTCATAATATTGTGAATCTAGAATTTTGTAATCAAACCCTAATTGTTACCAAATTAGATTGGGTCTCCTCAAATATAATATATAAAAATATATTATACTAAACCAAGCCAAATTAAAACTCTTTTTAATAAATCAATTGGGTCCCACACTCCAATAAGGAGGTATACCCAACAATTCTCCCCCTACCGACTTAGGTGGAGATATCAACCATACCCATCAAAGTTCGACACTTCAAATGTTTGTCCCTCGACAAAGTCTTTGTCAACATATCCGAAATATTATCATCTGTGTGAACCTTTTCGAGTTGCGACAATTTCGAATCTAACACATCACGAATCCAATGGTATCTCACATCAATGTGTTTCGATCTTGAATGAAAAGTAGAATTTTTACTCAAGTGAATAGCACTTTGACTATCACAATAAAGAACATACTTTTCTTGCTTCAAACCCAACTCTTGCAAAAATTTCTTCAACCATAACTCTTCTTTGCAAGCTTCCGTAATGGCAATAAATTCAGATTCGGTAGTTGAGAGAGCAACACATTTTTGTAATTTAGATTGCCATGCCACAACTCTCCCTACAAAAGTCATCAAATACCCCAAAGTAGATTTCTTAGAATCAATATCACCGGTCATGTCAGAATCTGTGAACCCATCAAGCATCGACTTACCATCCCCAAAACACAAACACACCTTCGAAGTCCCTCGAAGATACCTTAGAATCCATTTTACCACTGCCCAATGTTCTTTACCCGGATTAGAGAGAAAACGACTCACCACACCAACGGCGTGAGCAATATCCGGCCTTGTACAAACCATGGCGTACATCAAAGAACCAACTGCTGAAGCATAAGGAACTTTCAACATCTCTTCTTTGTCTTTCTCACTTGTAGGACATTGATTCGAACTAAGCCTGAAGTGACCCGCAAGTGGACAACCAACCGGCTTCGCTTTATCCATATTGAACCTCTCAAGAACTTTCTCAACGTAGCTCTCTTGAGACAACCAAATCAGCCCCTCTTTGCGATCACGAACAATTTTCATACCAAGAATTTGCTTTGCCGGCCCCAAATCTTTCATAGCAAAAGACTTGCTCAACTCAGAGTCAAATTTTTTGTACCATTGTCGCGGGGCTTGCTTGAGTCCATACAAGCTTTTCTTCAATTTGCAAACAAATTTCTCTTTCCTTTTTTCCACAAAACTTTCTAGTTGCTCCATGTAAATTTCTTTTTCAAGATCACCATGAAGAAATGCGGTTTTCACATCAAGTTGCTCAACTTCAAGGTTCATACTTGCAGCCATGCCAAGTACAACCCGAATAGAAGACATCTTCACAAGCGGTGAGAAAATCTCATCAAAGTCAATGCCTTTCTTTTCCCCAAAGCCTTTCACAACAAGACGTGCCTTGTATCTCAGATTCTTGCCATCATTCTTCAATTTGAAGGCCCACTTATTTTTCAAAATTTTTCTCCCCTTAGGCAATTTCACTAAATCATAGGTGTGATTTTCAAGTAAAGAATTCATCTCCTCTTCCATGGCCTTTTTCCAATCACCTTTCTTTGCATGCTTAATTGCTTCTTGGTAGCTCTCAGGCTCCCCTTGATCAGAAATCAACACAAATTCATTGGGATGATACTTTCTTGAAGGTTGTCGGTCCCTTGTAGATTTTCTTAACTCAAGTTGTGGTGGCGGTTCTTGAGTTGGATGTTCTTCCTCAATTTCTGGCTCAACTTCATTAGGATTAGCATTATCCTCCACTTCTTCAATAGGTGGCTACACATCTCCCCCATTTTCATCATCAACTGAAGATGAAGAAGATGGATCCATGTCAATGAGATCACTAGTTTTTGGCTCCGGTCGATCACCTTTGCCATGGTCTTCAATTGTTTGGTCTTCAACAAAACAACATCACGGCTTCGAATGACTTTCTTGTCGACCGGATCCCACAATCTATACCCAAATTCATCACGTCCATAGCCAAGAAAAATACATTGTCTTGACTTGCTATCAAGCTTGGACCTCTCATCTTTTGGAATGTGAACAAAAACTCGGCAACCAAACACTCTCAAGTGCTCATAAGACACATCTTTACTGGTCCGAAGTCTTTCTGGAACATCACCATTCAAAGGATAGGAAGGTGACAAATTGATCACGTCAACCGTTGTCTTCAATGTCTCACCCGAAAAGGATCTTGGCAATTTAGCTTGTGAAAGTAAACACCTTGTTCTTTCCACAATGGTGCGGTTTATCATCTCGGCAACGCCATTTTGTTGAGGAGTCTTCTTAACTGTCTTTTGGTGCCGAATACCTTGGCTGCGACAATACTCATCAAATGGCCCAATGTATTCACCACCATTGTCTGATCGGATGCACTTCAATTTCTGCCCTGTTTCTCTTTCAACTATGGCCTGAAAATGCTTAAATACTTCTAGAACTTGATCTTTAGTTTTTAGTAGAAAAGCCCAAACTTTCCTTGAATAATTATCAATGAAAGTAACAAAATAAAGTGCACCACTATGTGTTCTAACTTTTAAAGGACCACAAACATCTGAATGAATCAACTCCAAAATATTTTCTTTTCTAGAAGCAACATTTTTACGAAAAGAAACTCTATGTTGTTTACCCGCCAAACAATGAACACGAGTTTTAAGATGTGTACCTTTCAAACCGGGTAGAAGCTCTTTTTTGAACAATACTTGCAGCCCCTTTTCACTCATGTGGCCAAGCCGCTTGTGCCATAATTCAGTAGAAGTATCTTCTTCAAGTGCATTGACAACACCTTTACAAATTTTTCCTTGCATCGAATAAAGTGTATGAGTCTTCTTACACTTAGCCACCACCAAGGAACCCTTTGTGAGCTTCCATATTCCATCACCAAATTTGTTGTTGTAGCCTTCATCATCTAGCTTCCCGGTAGAGATCAAATTGAGGCGAATGTCGGGAACATGCCTCACATCTTTAAGCAACAACTTGCAGCCCAAGTCACATGAAAAGAAGCACCGGAATCAATCACCCAATTGCTCTCTTGGCCCACAAAATTGATACAATTATCTTCACAAACGACCATGAGATCACCATTGGTAGTAACTGCAGTTGTGTCTTCTTGCTTCTTGTCTACACTTTTGTCACGCCTTTTCTCCTTATTCTTGAGCTTTCGGCATTCTCGCTCCATGTGCCCTTTCTCATGGCAATAATAGCACTCAATGTCTTTCTTTGAAAAAGAACCATCTTTTGATTTATCACGTCTTTGATCGCGACCAGGAGAAGTTTTACTCCTCCCTCTTGTTTTGCTTCGACCTCTCACAACAAATGCTTCTGAATGAGAGGAACTCGCTGATTTTCTTCTAGTTTCTTCATTCAACAAGCTACTAGTGACTTGGCCCATTATGACAACTCCATCAGGTGCCGAATTACTAACTGTCACAACCAAAGTCTCCCAACTTTCGGGTAAGGAACTAAATAGCATCAAAGTCTGCAACTCATCATCAAAAATAATTTTCA